GTGTGATGCTAAGTGAAATAAGCCATACAGAGAAAGACAGATACCATATGGTTTCACTCTTATGTGGATCCTGAGAAACTTAACAGAAACCCATGGAGGAGGGGAAGGAAAAAAAAAAAAAAAGAGGTTAGAGTGGGAGAGAGCCAAAGCATAAGAGACTGTTAAAAACTGAGAACAAACTGAGGGTTGATGGGGGGTGGGAGGGAGGGGAGGGTGGGTGATGGGTATTGAGGAGGGCACCTTTTTGGATGAGCACTCGGTGTTGTATGGAAACCAATTTGACAATAAATTTCATATATTAAATAAATAAATAAATAAATAAAATGATAAGAAATCAAGAATAAATAAATAAATAAATAAATAAAATGATAAGAAATCCCCAGAATATCCCCTCCACACCAAAATAAGTAAGTAAATAAATAAATAAAAGTTAACATTGAGTATGGGTAATGTGACTGAGGGTAGAAAAAGTTGAGTGAATGATCTCTGATTCTTTTTTGTTTTTTAAATTTATTTATTTAATTTGAGAGAGAATGAGACAGAGAGAGAGAAAGACAATCTGATCTGTCAGTGTGGAGTCCGACGTGAGGCTCGAACTCAAGCAACAGTGAGATCATGACCTGAGCTGAAACCAAGAGTTGGACACTTAAGTGAGCCACCGCGGGCCCAAATGATCCTTGATTCTTACTGAAAGTCCTTCTATCTGATATTATTTACACTATGTTTACATTACTTCTAGTAAAACAAAAAGTTGGCAAAAGTGGAGAGTTCTACTACCAATAAATTGTTTTACCCATGTGGTGGTGGGGAAATTCAGCTACTCTCTTAGGAGATACTTGCCCTGTCTCTGAATCTTTTGCAAGCATTGCAAGATTTTAGGACATTCACTGAATATATTCATTTCATTCCTGGCTTCATTTAATATCCCCATTCTTGGGGCGCCTGAGTGGCTCAGTCAGTTTAGCCTCCAACTTTGGCTCAGGTCACGATCTCATGGTTTTTGAGTTTGAACCCCGCATCGGGCTCTGTGCTGACAGCTTGGAGCCTGGAGCCTGCTTAGGATTCTGTCTCCCTCTCTCTGCTCCTCCCCCATTCTCACTCTGTCTCTCTCTCTTTCTCAAAAATAAATAAAGATTTAAAAAATTAAAAAAAAATCCCCATTCTTCCTTGATTCCTTGTGCTTTATAGTTTTAGTTCTTTTTCAGATTATCTCTCCATATTTTATGAATATCTGCAAGATGACTTAACTCCTTACTGGATCAGGGCAATGTAAACAAAATATTTTAAATTTGTTTGCCTGAATTTCTCCTTTGATATCAAAGTGTGGATTGCAACATTTTCCACTGCCGCCCTATCTGTGCAGTATGATGGGTAATCCTCTCTCTCTACATTAATAATCCTTAAAGCAGGTGGGAAAGATCACAATTTCTTGAATAAATTTGAAAACATATTCATTCCTAGTATTCTAAATGCTGTAGAAATAACATAATTTATTATGTCACATTTACATAATATATTAAGAACATTCACTGCCACTTCACATTGTTTTATTTTTTTTTTTACATGTATTTATTTTTGATAGAGTGAGGCAGAACACGAGTGGGGCGGGGGCAGAGAGACACAGAATCCGGAGCAGGTTGCAGGCTCTGAGCTGTTAGCACAGAGCCCGACATGGGGCTCGAATCCATGAAATGTGAGATCATGACCTGAGCTGAAGTAGGACACTTAACTGACTGAGCCACCCAGGTGCCCCATCACATTATTTTTAAATGGACAATTTTCTCTGAGAAAGGACTTAAGTTTTGCATATAGTTAGTTGAAAGCCTGCATTAAAACCTAACATTTTATGAATGAAGAGTGTCAGTCAATAATGAATACTCTTCTGGGGGGGAGCCTGGGTGGCTCAGTTGGTTAAGCGTCTGACTTCAGCTTAGGTCCTGATCTCACAGTCTGTGAGTTCAAGCCCCACGTCAGGCTCTGTGCTGACAGCTCAGAGCCTGGAACCTACATCAGATTCTGTGTTTCCATCTCTCTCTGCCCCTCCTCTGCTCATGCTCTGTCTCTCTCTGTCTCAAAAATAAATAAAAACATAAAAAAAATTTAAAAAATAATGAATACTCTTCCATTAAATCATCACAGTCATCTCTGAGACTCAATTCTTTATTAAATGAAGAAGGTAAATAAACTTTAGTTTGCCTGTTCAGCTGAGGTTAACACTTACGTACTACCTCTGATTTTTGCTAACATCCAAGCTATCCTGGGTGGTAGAGTCAGGACTGCCACAGGAAAGAATCTGGTAGTAAGAAATTACTGGAAAGGGTATGATGACATAATTTCAATAGGTTGCTTGAGACTGTAGTTGTTCTGAAAATATTTTGATCATAAGTTTACAGATTTTTAAACATTTTCCTTTATATGGAAACATCCATAGTCTTTCTATCTCTTATGCAAGTTGCTTCACTAGTGTTTTTAAACAGAGGCTGGGATTAATGCACTAATCCACTAAAGTAGGTAGCCGATCTAAATCCTCTTCTCTGCACAGAATTCTTATAAACCCAGTATTGTTTCTTTAATATTGTTTTGCTAATCACATAAATCTACCTGTCTAAAGAAAGGCTGTTGGAACATTTCAGATGGTTGTTTCACTAAACTTGATTCTCTTCTAATTGTGCTTTAATGATAGTTTTCCATTTTGTGGATAACTGTGTTTAAATATTCAGAGAACGGATTATTAAAATTTTTGCTGAATGACTCATACAGGAACACTAATTAGAACAAGAAAAACAGAGTTGCAATTTTCCAAAATAGTAACTGTGCCAGGTGAACTCAAGAAATGCTTCTGCTAACTAAAACTTTTATATAGAAACTGGCAAATAATACATGTAATAATGATTAATGGTTTCTTCTGGATATTTAAAATGAATTGCTTACTACAAGTCAGAAATGCTGGTTCTTATTCTAAGTTCTGTCACTCACAATTTTACTGATTGACCTTTAGTTAGTATTCTGATTTCTTTTTGCCTTAATTCCTTTCTCAAAGTATAACCTGGGGATTATAATTAAAAATAAACAAGTGAATATACTTGGTAAAGTGACAAAGTGAAAAATATTTTCTGGCTAAGAGGTTCTGACTTATATTTTGTTTGTTTTTCACATTTCATATTAATTAGATCCAATAGCACCAACCACTGTAAATAGAATGTTATACCATCAAGGCACTTACACTAAATAGGAAGTAACCTTAGGTTATTCTTTCTTTATACATTTTCCTCTTCTAAGAGAATAACTAAATAAAATATATATGTCATAAGTTCCGAAATTCCAAATCAAAGTCTGAATTTTTAATAATATCAGCATAAGAGCCTCTAACTACGTACTAAAGTATATAGTGGAGAAAAGGTACTTTTTACAATACTGGATGAGAAAGTAAAGTCACTAATACACTTTTCTGACTGTTTCACGTGAAGTATTTTAAAATTAATATCGAAAATAACTACAGCTTCTTCTAAAGGGTTTATTTTAATTTTCCCTTTTACATTATCAAGGGACAATATTTTTGTGTGTGTATGACATCATGTGTCATAAGAGACATCATTTCAGTTCAAATTATATAATATCCCTAACTTGAGCTTATCAGATTTCTGTTAACAGTTAAGCATCCCTCTTGCCACCCTGTCTTCATTTGCTCAATTGCATTGTTGGGGTGCCTTTTCCAACATATAGTTCCACCAACGCTTGGTAACTATCTGTTCTCATGACATTTCCAGGCAAACACTTCAAAGATCATTTCTCCCAACACAAACATCTTTAGAGAGATGGGAGGTTTGCTTAAGATCACACTGCCCCTTGTTCAATCTTTGCTAATGCTGCAGCATTTGGAAGTCTTCCTGAAAATAAATTGTCTGATGTTTTTCTATAGTATGCAGAAAGTACCGTACCTGAAAGATTTTACTAGTCAACTCAGCACATAAAATTCCTTTTCTGGCACCAAACTAAGCTCCAAGGAAATAAAATGATCTGCCCTCTTTACAGTGCCTTGCACATATAGATGCAAATTAACTATTTGGAGCTGGAGAAACTTTTATTCCCTATCCATATTGCAGTAGCAATGCCCCTGCCATTGACTATTTGGTTCATCTAATTTTTCGCTATAACTCTTGGGGCCATTAAAAGATACCATCGGCCAAGTTATAATTTATCTGTAGATTTACAATAAATTAAGCATCCTGACTTCTTCATTTGTTAGCAAATGCCGAACTATACTGGAATAAACTGATTCTGGGTAGTATCTAGTAGCAACTAAATTTGTTGTTTTTTGAAGTGTTGAAAGATCTAAGTTTTCATTTACATAATTATTTGCTCTAGTTAGAGAGTTGTTCAAAATCAGATATTCCACAAATAAATGTAAGGAAATAAAAAAACATTAAATAAATCAGCAAACCCTGTAGTTGAAGGAAACCTACTGTAACTATAGTTCATCCTAAATTTTTATTAAAATTTGCAGAAATTCAAACAAAAATTTTCTGAGTTTAAACTTACTTACAGCTAAGATTTTCACATAGCATTTGTTTTAGGTGAGGAAAAACAAAGACCAGTGAAAAAGAAAGCTGCATCACAGAAAATCACAGAGATAGAAAAATCACAGAAACAAAATGCCTTTTTTTATGTCAGAACAAATTGCTCTCTTCTGCTTCTAGTTAGTACCCCACCCTCCCTCCCCTTTCTTTTTCATTTAGGATTACACTAGAACACTGTGCCTGTGGGATTTTGCATCCTCATAGACAGGAACTACTTAACCCAAACCGGAATCCTGATGATTTTCTTATCCTCATGACAGAGTAAAGTATCAAAAACTCACCCTAACCTTTACCAAATAAAGTTCTGTAACATGCATATATCCATTCATTGCCCTAGCATGGACATACCCACTTAATGCTTTAGTGTGGACCTAACCACTGAATTCCTTAGCACGGACATACAGAGTGTCATATGTCAGTCTCTTCATATGGATGTACAAACTCCATTTCTTAGCATGGGTATACCCACTCAATGCCTTAGAACAGACACACACACTATTTTAAAGAATATCTATACATTTCTAGGAATATTATTTGAGAAGTCATAAAAGGTCTTCATTTTTATCAAGTATCTCACCATCTTCTACACTTGATCTTAGCCAAAAGGCCGAGAAGCGATCACCATCTTCTATTAATACAAATGTTGCCTGAGATTTCTAACATTCATTCATTCAAGGTATTTTTTTTCTTTTGATTTTAAATAAAAATACACAGCAGTTGTGTCATGAACTTTTTGGTCAAGATTACCATTTTCAACTGACATTAGTTCAGAATTCTTTCAAATTGTTACTTAACTAAAATCAGAATAATTTAACAATAAAAATCTTGAGAGTTTGGTCTGTAGGACAGTATTGTTCAGGTAAGATTGCCTGGATGTGAAGAAGAAGGAAGGGAAAAAATGAGGAAGTTAATAGTAGTTGAATAAGTCGGGGGTAGGCGAGAGAAAAGAAAAACACAGCATCCACAAACCTGTCAACTTTGCTATTTTGCCAAGTCAAACCCAACATAATCCTACACAATTCTAGTCAAAAGTATTTCTCAATCTATCCATGTAACTAACTTCATTGTACCCCTATTATGTGTTGCTGTATGCATTTTTAAATTATTTTTTAAATTTTATTATGGAATAATTGAAATATATACAAAGTATAATAGTACAATAGGACACTCATGTGCTGTCATCCAGCTCCAACAATTGTCAATTCTTGGCCTATCTTGTTTCATCAAGAAACAAAACTACTTCTCACACTCATTTCCCCTATCACAGATTATGTTGAATACAATAAAAGACATCAGGTTATTTAATCTAACATTATTATATCTAAAATCTATACCATCAAAATTCACGAAATCATATATATGTGCATCTTAGCTAAAATACCATTATCACACTTAAAAATAATTACTAGTCTTTTGTTTTTAGAGTTTCTTTATTCAGATTTATATTCAAGTAAAGTCCCTACGTTTAGATTAGTCCGTAAGTCTTATAACTGTCTTTTAATATGTAGGCTACCCTTCTGTCTTCATTTTTTTTTTTTTTTGTTTCTTGCAATATGTGTTTCGAAAAAAAAAATGTAAAGATGTTTGCCATATAGTATCTACTGGAGTCTGGATTTTGCTAATTTTCCTCCTTGAATTTTTTAACTTGTTTGTTTGTTTCTTGCATTTTCTGAAGATGCTAGTTAAATGAAGAGTACAAAGTGGCAAACTATAGCCTGTGACCAAATTCAACTTGCAGCTTATTTTTGCAAATAAAGATTTATTGGGACATAGCCACAAGCATTTATTTATGTATTTATTGTCTATGGCTGTGTTCTCCTGAAAAGGCAGAGTTGAGCAGTCATGATAGAAACCATATGGCTCACCAAACCAAAAATTTACTTATGCGATCTTCACAGAACATTTCTGCTATTTCCTAATTTTGAGGATAGAGGGTTTTTTGTTTGTTTTTGAATAGTTTATATTTAGAGTTGTATACTTCTAGGAAGTATACTTCACTTGTGATGTTAAAAACCACAGATGATCTGGGGCGCCTGGGTGGCGCAGTCGGTTAAGCGTCCGACTTCAGCCAGGTCACGATCTCGCGGTCCGTGAGTTCGAGCCCCGCGTCAGGCTCTAGGCTGATGGCTCAGAGCCTGGAGCCTGTTTCAGATTCTGTGTCTCCCTCTCTCTCTGCCCCTCCCCCGTTCATGCTCTGTCTCTCTCTGTCCCAAAAATAAATAAAAACATTGAAAAAAAATTAAAAAAAAAAACAAACCACAGATGATCATTTCCTGAATTTAGTTTATCCAGGGGCTGAAAATGCTTAAGGATATACAAACTGGATCTTTCGATACTGTCCCCTACAACTTTTCCCTTGAGATCTGATTTTTAAAAAGCTGTGCAAATATTGTACTAAAATAACTCATTGCATTATTTTATGAGGAGAATTATAAAACTTTTTGAAAAAATTTTAATCAAAGGATGTCACATTGAATTGGTATTAAATCCTAGCTTCAGAAATGCAAGTTCTCAATGTTACTGAGCATCTATTTCCTAATATATAAAATAGAAATATCAGAACCTACTAGACAGAAACATGGTAAATAGTATAAATTATTTTGTTATATTATTATATTAAAACTATATTTAAAATTAAATATAATTATATATGATACATAATAGACACTCATTAAATATTAGCCCATTTTTGGTACCATATTTCACGAAAATGCACTTTTTCATATTTCGACATCTCTGAAATCGGACTTCATGGTATAATTAATGGATCTTAGATTTGATGAAATAAGACAGTAGCAGTGTTACTATGGATAGCTGTTTCTTGTGTAAGTGTTTTAACTCTGGGTCATTGATGCTGCTACAAGGAGATCAAATAATAGTCATTTGGGATAGAATTTTCTTGGATGACCAAATTCTGTTAAGAATTTCTTTTGGTCATTGAATTTTCTAAAATTTCATGGAAGCTCTGTATTCTAGTATTTTTATGTATACTACTCATATTAACAAAGGTGAGTTTCCAGAAATATTTGAAATTCTTTTTTTTTTTTTTGAAATATTTGAAATTCTAATATCATCACCAGGCATCTAAGAAACCCCCCCAAAAATAGAATTTAAAATGTGAGTTTCTAGTTTCCCTTTTATATTTTGATTTTTTATTATTTTGTATATGAGTATATTTTTATGAAATGTTATGTGGAGGAAGAACTGGAATTCTAGTGCTTCATCAAAAAAACAAAACAAAAAAAAAAAAAAAAAAAAAAAAATTAAAACAAATACAACTACCATAAAACATTTTACCGCCATTCATCAATACTCTAAAACAAACATCATGCAGCGCCTGGGTGGCTCTGTCAGTTGAGCCTCCGACTCCTGTTCAGGTCATGATCTCATGGTTCGTGAATTTGAGCCCCGCATCAGGCTCTGTGCTGTCAGCTCAAAGCCTGAGGCCTGCTTCAGATTCTGTCTCCCTCTCTCTCTGTCCCTCCCCAGCTCATGCTCTGTCTCTCTCTGTCTCTCAAAAATAAATAAATGCTAAATTTTTTTTTAAAAAAAACGAACATCAGAAATTTTGAGTTTTCCTCATTCAATCATGTTCAACCATATTATTAAAAAAAATTTTTTTTAACTTCTATTTAATTTTGAGAGAGAGAGACAGAGCGTGAGCAGGGAAGGGGCAGAGAGAGAGGGAGACACAGAATCTGAAGCAAGCTCCAGGCTCTGAACTGTCAGCCCAGAGCCCAACATGGGGCATGAACCCACAAACTGTGAGATCATGACCTGAGCCAATGTTGGACGCTTAACCGACTGGGCCACCCAGGTGCCCCCATTCATATTATTTTTTTATTTCCCACTTCTCTGTATTCTAATATAGGAAATTATAACATTTTAGCATCTTATACATTTTTATTATGTTTTGTATGCATTTAAAATTTGAAAAAAGGAAAACAATTCTTCATAGTGTCATAAGCCAAGCTAAATACTATTACCTCGTTACATTTTCTTCCATCTTACGTTTCTCATGTAGAAATATTCTTCGTAAATATATCATTTGATCCCACATTTTAACATATGCTTACACCATATTATCTTTCCATTTTCCATGTTATTTTAATTACTGAATGCTAGAGTTAATATTAAAATATTACTCCCTTGGACATAATCCAGTTTATCATTATTCTATGCCTAATATTTTCCCAAGTTTTCTGCTAAAACAGCTTGCATCAAACATAGTTAAACCCTAATTTTCTTTTCTTTTTTAAAATTTTTTTCAACGTTTATTTATTTTTGAGAGACAGTGACAAGAGAGGGAGGGGCAGATGAGAGAGACATAAAATCTAACGCAGGCTCCAGGGTCCACACTGCCAGCACAGAGCCAGAGGCAGGGCTCAAACCCATAAACTGTGAGAGCATGACCTGAGCTGAAGTCAGAGACCTAACAGACTAAGCCACCCAGGTGCCCTTGGTGGCCAATATTCTTGTCTGCAGCTCCAATATCTAGATCATCAACGCATCTCTATTAACTGATTTTTCAAATTATGTATGTATTGCATCTTTACTTGTTTTGTAAAGTTTTATTCCTTTGTGTAAAGAACAACAGAGATGAATAGATTGTGTGTGTGTGTGAGGGGGTGTATACGTATATTCGTATCTAAGTATGTATCCTTCCCACCCCCACCCCTAGAGAATGCTCTTCTGTAAGAGTGATAAAGGTTGATAAATTTGGTAGATTCAGGAGTGAACTGCTTAGGGATGTGGTTATAGTTTTGATCCTTTTAGGACAATCTTGAAATTCAAACACTACATGTCTAAGGAAATCTCTCTGCTATCTACATACCTCCATAGGCATGCAATCCACTTTTGTAATCATCCTAATACAAAATTGTAAAATATTCATACTAGTAGTAATAACACAAAGCACTTACATAAGCTTACTATTTTCTGAGCACTCTTACAAGCATTTATATATATATTAATGTATTTAATCCTTAGAAAAATTCTATAAGGAAAGAGATATTATTATCCCCATGTTACAGGTGAAAAAGGTTAACTAATTATGCTGAAAATTATGTAGATATAAGTATTAGAGGAAGATATTCTATACGTTAAATATTTGTTTGAGGTAAAGTATAGCAGAGTGGTTTTTTTTAATTGTTGTCTTGAGTTTTTTAAAATAAAACAGAGATTTGGTTTTAAGCAGCAAAGCTGTCTGGTAACGGGAAATAACTCTTAGTATCTATATTCCCCAGGCCTGCAAGTGTGCAAGGGAAACAGGTTTTCAACCTGCAAACTCAGTGAGAAAACTAAATTAAAAGAAAACCAAATTTACCGTAGCTGAGTCCTGGTGGATTTATGCCTATTCACCTCCCATTCTGAGCACATAGGAGGATTTTACTTTACTCCCCAAATTTAAACATGCTCATATGATTTACATTGGCCAAGCAAGAGTAAACAAAAATGACACGTGTCCCTTCCGAACTATTCATGATCAAGAATAAATTCCCATTTACTCACTCTTGCCACAGCATCTTGTATGAATAGATCCCTCTGTCAGGCTTAGGAGTGATGATGGAAGAAACAAACATGGCTGCTGATCTGAAATGGACATATTTAATGACTAAG